GTATAAATTATCTTTTCTCATGCATTCAATATGTGAGAATTTTCTATGAGAATTTTAGTGCAACAATTTGATATTTTCCTCATTAAAGATATTTTCCATAGATCAATCATAATTAAACATCTTTAAAAATCATAAAATATTTAAAATTATGACCATACTACTTATTCTTGTTACTTAACATCACCTCAGTTTTAACTCTTCATTGTTTTGATTGGGCAAATAGCTTGACTTAATGGAATATGTAAATTTTGGCATGCTTTTCTTTGGTGTTGCTGTATTGTGCTTTTCTATTGTTCTTATTTTTTATCAATGAAATAAGCCTTTTAATTCTGATATTCTCATTGTGGTGAAGTCTCACATGTGTAGTGGCCTAATATATTTCCATTAATTATATTTTCTTCTAGCCTTGTTTGTGTCAATATAAATTTACTTTCAGATTCAATTTTTTTTTTAAACAAGCTACACTCATGATAAAATCAATTTTTAAGAGTTTAAAACAAAATTTTCAAAGGAGAATATGGAATTGTGTCTTTCACAGTTTAAAACCCTTCATAACAATGGAAGAAAAACATGAACTATTTATCAATTTGGGATGGATAAGACAAAATGATTCACAAAATAAACATTCTAAAATCACGAAATAATGTTCTATCAAATCACTTCGTACGTGATGTGATCTGTCTTTCTCTTTAAATTTGCTTAACTTCATTCCTTCAAAAAGATTATCAGCTTGGATCTGGATGGTCTGTTCTACCAGCAGGACGAAGCCAGGCCAGTGCCCTTTCCCCTCAGATGTGAAGCCAAGGGTGACCTCCCTGGTTGTACCAGGAGAGGAGCAGGAGGAAGACAGTGAGGAGGACCTGGAGAAGCTCCCCGAGCTGGGAGCAGCAGCAGCAGGAGAAAGCCACTTCCCCAACAAGGAGGAGAAGGGGGAGGAGCAGCAGGAGGGCAGAGGCAGTGAGCAGGAGCCTGGGCAGCAGCAGCTGGAGGGGCCCTGCCTCTCTAGTGATGTGTTCTGCAGGTTGCAACTGCAGCAGGTGGAGCGCATTTTCCAGCGCGCTCAATACTCAGATGTGTTCTTAAGAAAGGAGATTTCAATACCCACGTGTGTCACTGAAGCCACGGTGAAGCCTGAGGACCTTGAAGACGATTCGCTGTGAAAGCCGCTCTAGAACCAGCTTCCAGCAGCCCGCACCGTTCTCCTAGGCAGTTTCGGGCTGCTGTGTTTTCACTGCCTTTGGCATGTTTGTGAAGAAAGTTTTGAACTCAGGAGTGTTGGAGAGCAAAGGATGGGATAAGTGAACCCCAGCATGTGGAAATTTGTCATCACCGAAAGGAAAATGATTCACTAATGGAAAAAAATTAAAGGACCAAATCACTATTCCAATTCCTTGTACCAAAGAAATATAAATGAAGCTCAACTCCTAAAAAAAAAAAAAGATTATCAGCTTGCAGATCATGTCATTTGTTGTTAGGTGTTTTCTTTCATGTAACTTCAAGTTCATGTGGAGGCTTGGCTTTCACATTAATTTTTTTTTAACTTAATGCCTGCTATTCTTTGAAAACAATAGTGAAGGGAAACAAAAAAGAAAAGTGAAGCTGTTTACTTTATATTCTGCTCATATATGTCATAAATTTGAATACATTTTCCATTAATTATAGTAACTTTTTTTGGGGGGGGGTACCGGGGATCGAACTCGGGTTCTTGCGCTTGTGAGGCAGGCGATGGAATCACTGGGCTAAATCCCTGGCCCTATATTAACATTTTGATAGATGTGATAGGATTTTTTTTTTTTTTTTTTTTTTTTGGTACTGGGGATTGAACTCAGGACCTTGTGCTTGCAAGGCAGGTGGCAGAACCACTGAACTAAATCCCTGGCCCAGGATTCTTTTTTCTAATCCATTTTCTTACCTCCTTGTATGTGTTGGCAAATTTTATAATTTATTGTGAAGAAAAACATAACCAAACTATTCAAAATAACCTGTAAAATAGAAAAAAATAATTTTTCATGAGATATATACCATGCACTAATGGGTAACATCACAAAGAGGATTCCCAATCTCAACTCAACAGAGTATCCCCCACAGATAAAGAAGTATTAAAAAATTTAATTGAATATTTAATGGAATTCCTAGTATTTATATGAATTATATGAATCACTAATATATTTGAATAAAAGTTAATGTATTTTTTTAAAGTACCAGATGCCAGGCAGTTTAGTAAGCATTTTTATTCTAGTACATTTTTCCATGCAAGAAACTTCTAATGTATGTATTTTAATTGTACTTGTTTACTAATTAGAAAGCACAAGATCAAAGTAATTGAATTATCTGAACTTCAAAAGCAAAAATTTTGACAAAAATGAGGTGAAACATTACTTATTTGATGCACTTAAATAAGTTGCATTAGTAACACTGCAAGAATCATGTGATATAATTTTACACTAAAATTAAAATTTTAAATAGAAACTAAGTGTAAAATCAAAATTGAACTTGTCATATATTCAAAATTTTAACAGTAAGAAAATTTTAGAAAGCTTACATTCCTTTCAATATTTTTATAAACAAATGAAACTTCAGAGTAAATCTGATTAATTGATTCTTACTACAAAATTAAAGTGTATATATTAAATATTCAAAGGCACTGAGATTTTGAAAAAGGTAATCAAAATGAGTTGATAAAATTTTTCATAATTTTTTTAAAAATATCTTGTCTCAAAACACTGCCTAGTACTCTAAAGTCAAGTTAGCCTACTAGGTATCCATTTCAGAAAAGAAAATACCCTAAGTGTTCAACATGATTAATTCATGTATCCCTTATGTTAATTTTAAAAACAAATATCGTTTTTACTATAGGTATTTTGCTAATAGAGAATGATACCAACCTTCAGTAAATATTTGTTATTCATTATGAAACATTTTATTGTTTATGTTTGTTTTGAAAAATCACAATAACGTTTTCAGTTTTAACTTAAAGATTTGTGCACATAAAAGAAGCACATAGTCAAAAAGAAAGAACTATCTTCCAGGCATATAGACATGGCAGCCTGACATCAGCAAGTAAAATATCCACTCTTAATGTCCGTAACCCACAGACAACTACTGTCAGAATATTATTCGTTTTTATTTTACATAATCTTTATGGCATAAAATCAAATATGGAACAATTACTATCTTCATTTAACATAAATAGCACTGTTATAAAGATTTTTGAATACTAATACACAAGGAACATTTTTAGTCTTTATATTTTCCCCAACTATGCAATATTCAACCATGTAATTGTGCTATGATTTATTAATTGGTCAAAGAAAAAGAAATTTTAATGATTTTATTATAGACCAGCATTTCCTAAGCTTTTCAGAAAGAGGAGACAACAATGGCTAATATTTTTAGCAATGAAGTCTTGGTTTTAACCACTGAACTTGTCATAAGTAAAAGGAAGACACCTACGTATAGTGTGTAATTGCCTGAAGATAGCTGTTTTCCAGTACATCTTTGTTTTCAAAATCACTACAATGTAGGCTGTAGTTTGCTGATGCCAGTTCAATGCTGAAATTCATTTGTGTTCTTTCTAGTAATGGTTAAATGTGTTGTTTCTCCAAAGCCATATTAAAAAAAATTGTTGTTAGCCTTTTACATTTTGTTTTAAAGATTACTCAAAATATCTGCAGTTCAGATTTTTGTTCATTTTCTGTCTTCCATATCTATCAGTTCTGTAATTCTTAAAAATCCTTTTTTATTTAAAGTGCATTTTTGCACTATTAATTTTTGTTCAGTAGTTTAATTTTCCTTTTCTGTGTTTTTATTGTTATTGTTTCTTTGTTACAATTTTCTATTATCATCTTTATTTTGTGAGGGTTATATCTTTTAAACATCTTGTTTCACTTCAATGTTTGTTTCCCATAGTCAATTTGCTTTCTCTACATTGAATTCTTTATATTTTGGTTTTGTGATAATCTACTGTCAGAGAAACAGTTGCTTGTATATGCAGTGATATTTTATTTATGTTTTTCTGGTTTCATTTTTGAAATTAATTGTTAATGTATTTCACTTCTCCTTGACAACATGATTTTACTTCCACTTATTCTTGTACAGTTATTCCTTATTTACCAACAGATTTTTGGTGTCTGTCCATGGTAGTTTACTTTTAGTGTGCACAAGTATTTAGGTAAGGAAATCTTTTTCTACTAAGTTTTTTTTTTTTTTTTACTTACATTTTCTTTTCTTATTTGCTGCCAAGGATTATCTGTGCCATTTAATTAAGGTTTATTAGAGAGATTCGTCATTCCTGCCTACTGTATACCTATGAAACAAATCAAGACCAAAGATATTTGTACTGCTAGATCTATTCACTCCAGTTCCCATACCTTAAAAACAAACTCAAAGGATTCATATTTTAGGAAGTGTGTTCTGGTGAAATTTTCTGAGATTTGCCTCAAATAAACCCTTGTAAAAGCCTTATTTATCTTCTTTTCATTCTTTTCAGATTCTATATGATCTCAGCAAATTATAGCAACTCCCACCTGCTTATACAATATATATAATATTAAATTAACCTTCTCTTTTCATTGATGATTTAATTTAATTTTTAATTAATTTTATTGGTATACTTTAGTTATGCATAATGATCACTTTCATGATAGGGAATTTGTATATAATCTAATTTAATTTTCTTCCCTCCTTCAGCCCCTTTTAATGTTAACAACTTGCTATTTATTTTACGTGCACATTCATAGAGACATATTAGAAGGAATGGGTTAAAATAATGAGTAAAAAAGTCTTATCTTTAAGCACTTTTTAAAATCCAAAATGAATGCTAAAATAACTTATACATTTGATAATTATTTAAGACATATTCATGAGTTGATTACTTAATGCAGTACAATCCTGTATATTATTAAAAATATAGTGGTTGAGGGAAAAGATTGACCCAATTATCTGCTTCACTGTCCATGAAAGGATCCCATGTTCTTCCGAGAATTTTTGAATTACTAAGTTTATAATCATTGAAGTTAAAAATACTCACCTAAAATGTGAATAAACTAAATAAATAGTAAAGTAAATATAGGTATATGTATTAATAGTCCTGTCAAAGTTATGAACTGATTGGAAGTATTCTACAACTCTATAACCTTGATCACTGGTACTTTGACTTGTAATTATTCTCAGAAGGTGACCCTTTTTGGTCAATCTTAATTAAGACCTACATCACTACCCTCATAAAACAGATTTTATTTTGATTACTTAGCATACAATGAGAATACTCATACTCCCACAAGCTATTTGTAAGGGAATAATAATCATAACATTATATATTTTAAAGTTATAATGAAGTACAAAGCTAGAAGGCATTGTAAGGTCATTTTATATATCTCCTTTTTAATGTGATAGCAATTAAAATACCTAAAGGAATAAAAATCTCTGAAAATTTAAAAGCATAATTATTATTTTAAGAAATTTAAAATATATTATAGAAAAGATATGAGCATCTAGAAATATTTCTATGGTATAGATGTACTGGAATTTGTTTATTTTTCATTTAAAATTGATAATCTTCATTAATGTTTTTGTCAGTTTTAAAATCCCCAAATCCTATACAAATCAAAAGAACTAAAGTTAGCACATAGTGAAAGTATATAAGCATTTTCTGCATTAAAGTTCTTTGCTATATCTTTTTTTTTTCAATATATCTTTAACTGTAATCTGCCACTACTTTCAGATTAGAATTCTAACAAAGTTTTTTAAGGAATAGAATATTGACCAATAATGTAATACAGTGGTAGGGCACTTGCCCAGGATCTATGAGACCCTGAATTCAATCCCTAGTACTGCAAAATAAATGAATCAGAAATTACACAAAGCAAAATATAGAATGAAATATGTAACATTTTTTTCTCTAGTGTTATGATTTAATAGGATATCCATGGTTATTGCAAGCTTAATGAAGAGCATTCTTTTTTTTTTCTTTTTAATGAATTTTATTGGTACATTTTAGGTATACAATGTAATGACATTCATCATTGGAAATTTGCACCTTTACATAATCTCTCTTGGTTCTTATTTTTTCCCCATTCCCCTGTCCTCCCTTCAACCCCTCCATCCCTCTCTATTTACAAAGGAGACTCACCCCTTTTCTCAGGAGACAAACTGACCAGAGC